GCGGCGAGGTAGGCCGAGAATCCCCGGGCTTGGGTGGAAGCTCTGCCCGCAGCCGGCCTACCGGCGGTCGCAGCCCCGACCGGAAGGGCCTAGCGCGCGCCGCCCGGCCCGGGCCGCAAAGGGCCCGCGCTGCGCTCTCGGGCTCCGTTTTTTCCCCCCTGGGAACTCGATCCTGGCCTCGTAGTGCTTCCGGCTGCGCATTCCGCACCTTGGGAGCCCGGATTTTGTAATGGTGGCGAGGTTTGTGTGGTCCCGTTGTTGAGATGACACCGGGTTTGTTTTTCCACCTGAAAATGAAAGTCCTCTGAGGGAATGCATTTTTCTGCACGTTATGGTTTTTGCACACTTTCGGACACTCTTATGTCTTTGGTAACAGGAACCTCTTACCTAAATGGGTGACTTTTACTTCATGTGAAGATAGTGAAAACGCCAGCGATCATTTGAGGATTCTCTGAAGAAGACAGTGCTAGTAAACCCAAATACAGTTTTGCCCAATAGTACTTTTCCAGTCTAGGACATTTTTACATTTCTTTTGAGGGCTGTATCTGCTGCTATTTCCTGATAACTCAGAAAGCTTTACTCCAGAGCCTGGAGTCAGTTCTTTCTCTAAGCCCTCACAAGACCATTGTTTTGAGAAGCCATTCTCAAACTCCATTACTGGTGGTAAAGTCTACACTTAAAAATATACAATTCATTTAAAAGTTAATGCAGTAGGGTTGCAAGTGAAACTGTCAAACTTTTATGGCCGGAATGATCCTAGAGATTTGTTCTTTTGATACATTTTACCTTACCTTTGCTGTGGTGGTTTTTTGAACCCGATGACAAATTTTTTCACCTTGGCCTGGAAATATCTGGACCTTGCTTGATAGTTCTTAGGTTTGATTACAACACAAAAGGATTCTGTTGGGGTGTTGGCCCTCTCTGCACAAAAAGAGAAATCATTATGTTTCTTTTCTAAAACAAAACCAACTCTTACTTGCAATATTAAGTTAACGTGGCTTTGCCCTTTTGTGGGTTCTTGGCCATGGGTTAACATTATTTTAATTAGATTGTTTTGTTGTACTGCACAGTCAGTCCAGTTACAAAGCTCATGTTGTAGGTTTTTGGTTGAGACTGTAAATTCTCAAAAAATTCTGTAAAAAATTGATAAACGCTGATTGAGCTCTTGTCCTGTAAGAAGTAACACGCTAGCCTCTGAATGGGTAAAGTGCCTGTTTTCAGTTCCTTTTGCCAGTTTGTTTGGTGAAGTTCAGAAGCATTAAGGAACACATCCTTTCACTTCTTGGGGGAAAACAATTTTTTTTTATAATATGCAGGAAGGTGGACTCAGAAGTGCATCTTTGGACACAGGTGGGGAAGGAATCAAGGTGATTATTTTAACAAGTCTTGGAGTTTTTAGTTTTACTGTTTTTTTTTCTGGCTCTACCTCGGATTTCTAATAGTGACTAAATAAGTTCTTATGTAGTTTTTTTCTTTTGTTTATTAACCTGTATGAGCGTCTGTAAAGAATTATAAAATGTTTTCTTTCATAACATTTTAAGGACTAGAGGAGATTTTGATAGGCATTCTGAACAA